TTTAAATGTTTCACAGTTGTTACTATTTATATTGATAAAATATATGCTTTTTTAATGATATTTATGTTATATATTTATATATATATTTATAACGTAAATATCATTAACTTTTGAATTTGTTTAATATATATATATATATATATATATATATATATATATATATATATATATATATATATATATATATATATATATATATATATATATATATATATATATATATATATATATATATATATATATATATATATATATTTGTGTGTTAATAGTTGGTTGCTTCGTATTGTTTGGATTTATTCTACTCTGTCTTATTTTTCTTTTCGCAATCAACGTTATTGCAAAAAGGTATCTTAAAGGAGTAACAAAGCAAACTAATGAGGAAGAAGAATTGCTGCCACCAGGAGAGGAAACAGAAGATGAAATGTATCTCAAATTAAAAAAACATTCGGTTCAACTAGAAAAATTACCTCAAAAACCGGCAGCTTTTCAAGTATTAACCAAAAATGATATTATTTCTACTATACGCTCTGAAGGTTTTAAATATAACTTTGCTGCCGAAGCAATCGCGCTTGTTTCCTTAAAATATGTATTGGAACAAAAGGTTTTACTCGGAAATGTAGAAACTATTTCCGGATTAAACATTTTAGAAGCATCTAGTCCTCAAGAAATTTCTTTTCATATAAAAATTATCCCTCAAAATAGATTTTCAAGAAAAACAAAATGGAAATCCGTCAAAAAAGAGGCTGTTTTGTTATCTTTTAGTATGGGTCCTATAGATAATTTATGTTCCTCATCTAGTTTATTTTTTCGATTATATGGCAGAAAAACAGTTATTTCAAGGCCAAAATGTTATGGACAATTTTACATAGAATTGGATAAGGTCATGAAAAAAGCGTCAAATGTTATATTTAAAAAACAGTTTTCACCTAAAGGAAATTGGATTGATAATCCTGAAACCCATAAAATAAAAACCTCAGCAAGTATAAATGATGTTTCAATGGATAACAAAAAGTGTTAAGTTAACTAAATTAGTTTCAATTTAATTTATTACGAATATTTAAATATATGACTTAAAATATTTAAAAACTACATTTGTTTATTTATTTGTTTATATTTATTTAACATGAAAATTAAAGAAATACACAATTATGTATATATAAAGTATCAATCTAAATATATTTTGTAAAATTTAAAAAAAATTGCATATTTCAAAAAGGCATTTTTATTAAAAGTGTTTTATGTCAAAAACTATTTTGTAGGCATCAACTGTTTAAAGTTATGTTCTTAGATATAAACAGAAATGTTTTTGATACAAATTAAGTTAAATAATGAACAGTGTACGTTGTTGTACTAATCAATAGTTAGTTTTCGTAAAGTAATAAGTTACATCGTAGATTGATTACTAAAAGTGATATTATTACCATACATTTACCAGTCTCCTTTAAGACATATATTTTTGGGTGATAAATGTGCAGCTATAATGTTTACACCACTGAAAACCACACAAAGTTTGAAACAACAGCGCAGATTATTATTGCGTAAAAGTTTCTCGTGGATCAAGTGTGGAAGCCATTTGTCTGCCATATATTTGCATTGCATTGGTGTGGTCCATGTGAGGCTATAACGCTTATACCACTGAAAACCAATGTTATTGATGATTTTTATGTTGTTGTATGCACAATGCAGGTTGTAGTGTTTTGCAATTGCAGTATTTCTATGTAGTTGAAATGCAGCCTTGGTCGTATGCTTCATTTTCAGAAAACATTGAAGATTCTTCACTCATTATCTTAATATATTTTGTTGGTTGCTTTAGCCATTTCTGTTTTACTTATTTATTTAATAAAAGTTTCAAAGCTAATAATTACTCATTTGAAGAAAAACTTTTTTGAAAATTTCTAACACGTCAGTATTTTATTCTTGTATAATAATATCCCTGAAAGTCAGTAACAAATGTTGAACAAATAGAAGAAGATGGAAAATATGAAGGAAGTATAGTTATTTAGCTGCATTAAAATTATTTAAATTAATTATCTAGCCATTTAGTATTTCTTTTTAAAGTTAAAGAAATATATATATAATTTGCGTAATGAAAATTCTACAACCAGTTTCCAATTAAATTTTTGGTAAATTTTGTATTTCATTTAGAGGAGCATTTTTATGGAACAAAGTAGTATTAAAACTTTTTGATTTTTCTCAAGAATCGAACTTTTTCTTATCTAAAAGAAAATTGAATTTTTTTTTTCTCAATTGAAAACATTCTTATATTTTTAAATTTGTTTAGTTTTATTATTAATACTCTTAAGAAATTTTTTATCGTAATTTATATATACGAAATCTTATATCATTTTAATTTATATATGCATTTGCTTTCTTTACTTAACTTTTGTTTTGTAATATATACTTGGGACATATATGTATTATTTTTGGTACATCATATTTTATACTAACAAGTTCTTATATCTTAATTATTTATATAAATATTTACTTTGTGCATTCAATTTTTGTTATGTAACTTTGAATTATTTTATAATTTATGTATTCCATTTTTATTAATATTTAATACTAGCTTTTAGCTTAACACTCTACCTCATCAATTCAGGCTTTTGTTTATCCAATTTTTTAAAAAGTAGCAAAATCCGGTCTTAATTATTACAGACCTATTTCACTTACATGCACTTGATATTGTGCATATTATTGATGGAAAGAATTATCAACTCGGATATCTTTAAGTATTTAATTTACCATAACCTAATAGCCCATATTCAACTTGGTTTCTATAAGACACGTTCAATGCAAATAATAAATTGTTTGCCAAATTTGCTTTGTTTAACATAAGGGATAGCATAATAAAATGGCTTGGTGCAATTCTCACCAATAAATACCAACAATTTAAGGGTGGAAGCTCAATGTCAAACCCAACTCCCATTGTTAGAGGGTTCCATAGGTCCTATAATATTCTCACCATATATCAACAATTTAACTGTTGTACTTAATAATTTTGATTGCTATTTAAAACTTTATGACAATGAAGTCAAATTAAATAATTAATTTGGCAATATAATCGAAGCCACTACTTTGTTATTGTTCTTGATAAAGTTGTACTATGATCAAAACACAAGAACTACCTGTTTCTATCAGTTAAAATTTTGTACATTAAGTTGCTCCTGCTTCACTAAGTGTAACCAGAGTCGTCCAGAATCGGCCAATATTTAGTCGAAATTATTAATATTGGTTAAAATATTGGTCGGAATTATTAATATCGGTTAATATATTGGTCAAAATACTTAGTCGAAACTATTAATATTGCTCGAAATATTGGTGGATGAATTGATTAAACGTTTAGCGACCAGTTATTGTGCAAAAAAAGACCTTTGTGTTGAATCATCAGTAAGACAGATCCAAAGGCAGATTAAATGTTTAATAACATTCAATCAGTCCGTTCTTCTTTATCTTTCTATAATGATTACTTCTTACTTTTACTTTTAAATTAAAAACATAACTTGAACTTGCCTTTATGGACCTTGGTATATGGCCTCTGTACGGCAGTTAGCCGGATAAGGATAAACCACAGCACCTAAAATAAATGATAACTTATTAAATACGTTAAAAAAAACTAAAAAAAAAAAACGCCTAATATATAATATTATCTGGACCAATTCAAAACGTTTAACATATGTTTAATTAAACGCTTTATATACGTTAGCAAGGTTAAAATTTTTTTTACGTTAAAGAATCCAAAAATAATAGACGTCGAAAAGTCGTTAATCGACGTTTAAAAGTCGACTTTTGAAATATTAAATAGTTACGAAATAAAAAATGTTCTCAACTGAACGCTTATTTGGCCGGAAAATATTAAACTTGAAGCTTGTGCGCTCATTTATCACTTCCCCGTTGAGGGTGAATTATAAACATAAGGTATTAAAGTAGAGTTAACCAACAAATTTGTAAATAGTATTGTTTTAACTAATTACAAGCAAAATTCGTATATTAGTCACAAAATTTGTAAAAGTTAATATAGAAAAGAAAAAATATATAATTATATTATAATTAAGCATATATAATAAAAATAAATGTAACCATACAAAAATTTTTAAGAAAACTATTTTTTTAGATAAATCTGTTGCCTTCAAGCGATTTAGATAAAGCAGAATATGTTATAACTACAATGTTATATCATTCATTCAAAGAAGTTTTAAATTTATTTTTTATTAGATAAGCATTTAGATTATCATCATAGTATATTAATAAAAATAAATTGTATTTAAAGATTTGAAAAAATGGTTACAATACTTTTTTTTTTTTAATTTTATATATGTATAGTTTTAAATTTAAAAGATTCTAAAATCTGCATAGAATTTTATTATTTGTATTTGTTGCAGTTAGTTGTCTCCTTTTGGTTAAAAAATATATATGCTCATAAGGTTTACAGCTTATATGCATTTTAATAGTTGAGGTTAATAATATGATAAAAAAATAAAAGTGCAAGATACGACAATCACAAGTCACCATTCAAAAATTTAAAATAAGAATTAAAACTTTAATTGAAAATTAAAGAACAAATCATAAAAATGCTGATATTCATATGGTTTGCTCTGATAAAACACAAACTTTACTTGAGAAATTGTAAAGCCTAACTAAATTTTTACTATTTAATTACAACTAAAGTACTTTTAAAATGTTGTAAAGATTATGTATGCCTATGCTCTTTATAAAAGAATATTAGTAATAAAAGATATTACTGTTGTTATAATTAATAATAGTGACAAACTTTCACTATGTATGAACTGCTTATCTCTATATCTTATTTTATCAGTAATATTTGGTGTGAGATTAATACAGCATTCATTATAAAAATAGTGTTTTTTTTTAAACAGTTATTTTTATATATATATCAAAAGTCAATTTTTTTTAGTTTGTAAAATAAAAAAATGGCTTTTTCACGAAAGCGTGCACTAATTGAGTCAGATGAAAGCAGTAGTGATGGTGATGATTTAGAGCAAGTATGTAAATTTAATTTTGTTATCAGACATCTAAATGTTATATTACTACAAACATTGTAGATTATATACCACAAATGGGTAGATGTAGCTATGTGAATAATAGTCCTTTTTATTGAAATTAGTTTATGCTTAGAATTTTTAACTGTTAGAATTTTTTGAAAAGAGTTCCTGCAAAGTGTTCCAAAAAGGATTGTTTCAAAGTAATTGTGTACATGTGGTTAATTTAACAGTGTTAAAAATATTACTTCAGCCTAATGTAATTGTTGATGTTGCTATATAGATTTTTTATTGCTTTACAAAGCATACTTGGTTGTACGATAAGATTAAAACTGTTCAACTGTGGGATTAATAAAGTGATCTTTTGGGTTGGACTGACATTAGAAGAACATACATTAAAATGAAAAATTTAAAAGAAAAAAAGAAAAAGAAAAAAGCTATTCTTTTCATTGTTCTTCTAGTTCTTTTTCGAAAAAGTCTAAATTAAACTATATTAACCAAGTACATGTGGAAACACAGTTAGAATAGAAGCATGCACAAATGAGACATGACTAAAAAATTATTATAAGAATATTTAAAAAAATTAAATTTGTAAACTGATTTATTATTTGTGATATTCTACACATTGTCCATAGTAAATGACCGGAGTTGATTTTTGACCAGGGCTAGGGCTGGGTGATGATCATATTGATCATGATGATCAATATGATCATCATAATCATCATTTTATCATGATCATGATCATCATTATCATCATCATCATCATCATCATCATCACCACCACCATCATCATCATCATCATCATCATCATCATCACCACCATCATCATCATCATCATCATCATCATCATCATCATCATCATCATCATCATCATCATCATCATTATCATCAACATCATCATCATCATCATCATCATTATCATCAACATCATCGTCATCATCATCATCATCATCATCATCATCATCATCATCATCATCATCATCATCATCATCATCATCATCTTTAAATATAAGAGCTGTTTTAAAAAATGCGTTGCATTACCGAATGCATCAAAAAAGACTGTTTATGCATGGGGTTTATAAAAATGACTTTTGGGTATGTTTTTTTTATTCATTTTCTTCGAATCAAGCTATAAACTAAATAAATTCACATTTCTAAATTTTGACATTTTTCATATCATGGTGTTTTTAAGTTTCTGAGTTCAAGTAAACTTTATATTATATATTAGTTAACAAATCTCGTACTTGGGTTTTCAAATAAAAAACGTTTAATAGAATTTTTTTATATACGTTTTTAAAAGTATTTTTTCTGCTGGATGTAATATTTACTTAATCGAATGTCTAAAAAGTATAAACTTTGCTTTTGAAAGGAAAAATTTTTTTAGATATTCAGTTTTAACTGTGAGGTGTTGCATTACTAAAACTGCACAGATTGCATTACCGACACGGCTGTTTCAAGCGAGCTTATTATTTTTTGAAAATATTCACGTAAGGGTTGTTACTAAAACTTTTATAACTTTTGAAACATTAGAGATAATTTTGCTCTGTAAAAAGAATAAAAACACCAATAAAATGTTTTATTCGATGACGTTTTCACAGATATATTAAAAAACTTCTTTAGTTTTCGAATAAAAGTGGCAAATCTTGAACTTTGTTGAACTAAATATTAGTAATTTAATGATACTTTTTATCAAAAAAAACTCAAAAAGAATATATTTTTGATATTTATTATTAAGTACACATTGTTGGACTATTATAAAAACAAAAAAATCTTACTTACATGTTTAAGGTTAACTAAAACAGATGTTAAATTATGCCAGTAAAGCAAATCGAATTTTCGCAAAATTACAAAAATGTTGTTAAAAGGGGGATAAACTGTTAAATGACTAGTTTGTGAAAACTGATTCCATTGAATGAAAACAGATTTACATTTTAGAATATTTAACCTAAAAATTTAAAGCTTAAGCTTTTAAAAAACTTTTTATTATGTGCACACAGTTCTAATGTGAGAGTGTTAATAAATAAAGACGCCAACTTTTTTTTTTTTGCATCTTTAAATATAAAATAGCAATTTGAAATTTTTTTATTCTCATAAAAAACTATTCTATAATCAGTTGGTCCATTGATAAGTTCTTTAAGTAGTAAATCTATGTACTCACAGTTGATACTAGACTCATACTTCAATTTAAACCAGAAGAACAGTTGCTTGACTCAAAACTGTGACAATAGCTTGTAGTTCTTAAATTATATTTTTACACCAAATTAATAAATTTGAGAATTGCATTCCATTCGTTAACAAGAATTGAGGTAGAGCAGTGATACCACAGAGGTAGAATTAACTTCTAATGGTAATAATCGTATGGACAAGGACTAATATATAAAAAACATGTTACATATAAAAAAGTACAATAAACTTTTTATTTAAATTATTTAAATAAACTGCACATATATACCAGATCAAACACAAAAACATACCAGTTGCTCTGTGTGTAGGTTATTAAAATAATATGCCATATTTTTACACCCATTTAATGCTAGATTTATATTGTATTCTTTAACCTGAGCGGAGGTTTTCCTGAGGTAGAATTAACTTCTGAAGATAAGAATAGAATTACCCTACAATATATAAAAGCAATATTACATATAACAAATAATTTAAACAAACATTACTTGAACAGAATAAAATTTTTTAAATTATAAATCAAGGATCTCTTTTTTTTATTTATTTTTTTTCAAAACTAAATTTGATGACCACAAACAAGACAAAGGCTTTTTCTATAAAAAGAATTTTTGCCACGCTCAGAACACACAACACACTTTCTCACCTTAGAGGCTTGAAGCTTCCTATCAGCTTTGCTGTGCAATTCAAAGCATTTTAAAACAAGACGCAGCTTCTGTTCCTAATTTCTTACTGAATGCAACTGTCTTAATTCCTTATTTACACTATAATGCAAACACTCTCCCTCCTCTTCACTCAGCAACCCAATAGTTTTTTGCAATTTTACAAATAGTGGCACATTAAAAATGTGTTCATGCATTTTTTTAGCGTGATACTTTCTTTTGGAAAACAAGCATGAAACTTGATTTAAATAAATAAATTTATATATTGATGAAGCTCAGTAATTTCGGCATCAGAAAGAAATTTTTTGCTTAAAAAGAATAAGTTGCAATTTATTAAAAACACTAAACACACATAAAAATCTTTTTTTAATAGCTTGATTATCAATAACACTACAAAGTTTATAGTGGTTTCTTGAGACTATTTTGCAATGATTACCTACAAACACATTACCATGGTACGCTTGTCGCTCAACCTTCATATCTTCAAGGGCCTTTTTAAGAGACCTCTCATGTGTCCCCATGCTACTTTTGGATATTTTTTCTAGGTCTTCACACTCCATCTACAATTTAATATATTCAATGTCTAAAACTTTGCGTTGTGCGCATATAAAAGAATTTTTTCAGAAATATAAAGGTCAAGACATTCTATATCTTCACCCTGACACGCTAAACACTTGTACATCTCTATGTACAATACTCTCTTTTCTGAATCTCCAATAATTTCAAAAAATTGATGAAACCATTTTTGTTACATAACACACTGCACCCAAACCAACATCCGAACTAAGGTGGCCACGTACATGAAGGTTATTAAAAACCTCTTCAATATAAGTTGTCAAATTCTTGACCATCAGTACAGATACTAAACAAGGTGCTTCATTCGCAGATGGGTAAAGTAACATGGACTTCACAGGGACATGTTCTTTATTGACATGCATTGTCAATAAAGAACATGTAAAAATATAAAACAACATAAAATTATAAAACAACTTTAATTATTAGCTTGTTCAGATTTAGAATGTGATTTGTCTATGTTGTTTTATATAAAATTATAAAACAACTTAGACAAATCACATTCTAAATCTGAACAAGCTAATAATTAAAGGAATATAAAAGCAAGTCTAGATTGTTTAGCTGCAGCCTACCTAACTTAGAATAAGGTTTACCATGTCCTAATTTAACGTAAGTATATTTTTTCCCAACTATTGGCCTTTTTACAGATATAGTCTGTGGATTATTTAGTTTAAATCCACAGAACAATTCTGAAGATCCAGTGTTGTCATAGTCTAAATAAGAATCAACAACAACTAAATCCTTATCACCACTAAAAAAACGTTTGCAAATTTGGTAACTACACTGGTTTATATTACTAACTTTTGCATTATTTTTTTAAATTTAAATTTTTTTTAAGCAATCTTACATTTTTTGCATGAGCAGATGCAAATATACGTTGTGATGTTTTGATTTTTTTTTTTAAATAAGTTGGAATTGCTCCTCCTGTTTTAGCCTAATACTCATAGCCTCTAATTGAGAACTTAATGAGTTACAATGTGTGTTTAAAGCCTTGTTTTTAGAATTCAAATCCGTAATTTCAGATTCCAACTTAAGTACCTGCATTTTTAATTGATCTATTTGCTCCACATAAGTTTCTTCTTTAGAAGTTAATTGGTCAACTTGACTACTTAGTTTCTTATTCCTATTTAAAATTGAAAAATAATCTGCATTTGCTGATTTTCTTTTTTTTTTTTGTGAAGCTGGAGACAGTTGCATATTAAAAAGTGCTTAGTTTTTAGAAGTCTTATAAATTTTTATAGAATCTTTTTTTTGTATTAATAATTTTTTGCACATATTTTTAAAGTCTTCAATAATAGGCAAATTAAACTCAATTGGCATAATAAAACTTATAAAACTAAACAATGTTTTAGATGGAAAAACTTTAAGTAAAATTAAAATCACGTTGTTAGTGATTTTATCAGTGTTCATTAATCGCTTAATAAAAGAAAAGTTACATTCATTTTCCCAGCCATTTTCCCATCCAATGTATAGTATTAATATCTCCCGTTCACTAGAATGCATAGTGATAAATAAACTTCTCAATAAAATTATAATACAAATAAATCAAATCAAATAATAATTAATGACAAATAACAAGTATGCAATAGA